TTCATTCAACATACATTACATTGCTTTAGCACACTTATAAAGACCCCCTTGGGGCTGTTTTCCGCAGCAAGGGCATGCAAGGAGATAGGCTGATTGAACTTTGTGGATCCCTGTCATGGGCATTAATCATATTTGTGCCTGCCCATTATTTTTTGAGTAGTCTTTTAATACTGGGGGAAATTTCTACAGTATATGGCCCTTTCTCCCACAAAAAGTTGAATTCCTAGCCTCTCTTGCAGCTGAAACACACTTGTGTGACATAGACATCACCAATCATATACGCTTGCATGAGACTTTGGATTTAAGGGATTAACATCAGGAAGGAGGGTCTGTGATGAGCTTTTCTTCTGTACGTGGCACAGAGCTATCTGGCCTTTGGGGTAGAAGTTTAGTTTCCCGGGGCAGAAATGCATCTGATGTGCTTATAGCCATCACAAGCGCAGTAAGTTGGGATACCTCCATTATTGCTTAGTCTTGGTAGCAGCAATGGCAACCGATTCCTCACTGGGCCATTTTGGAAGCCAGGCTTTGGCCATTAGCCTTGACATAGTTTCTTCAGTGCTCTTAATGGTTATGCGAACTACCTTCCATTTTAAAATGGATCCCTTGTATGGCCTGTACTAGTCAGAATGGACTCAGTTGTTTGTGGCTAAAAAGACTAACCAGCACAATTCCCTTCCAATGTTTTATTCTTGGGAGGAAGTGGAGGAGGTGTACTTCCTAATGCATGTTTACAAACATAAAAAAAAAATTGAACTAACATTTGATTCTAAAAAGCCTTGTTCATGAGAATATTTACTAATGAGTCTGTGCACAAGAATTCAAAGATTATGGGAAGTTCCTAAAAGTTGACAGCATCCAAAAGGCTGAATTCAGAAGAGGCACTTCTATCACTAAAGTATTAATATCATAACTCTACAATACTATATTTTCCTAGTTAAAGAAAGTAGGGGAGGGCTGCCTGGGTGACTCAGTCAGTTAAGCATCTGCCTTTGGCTCAGGTCGTGACCCCGGGGTCCTGGGAGGTAGCCCCATGTCAGGCTCCCTGCTGGGTGGGGGGCCTGCTGCTCCCCCTGCTTGTGCTCTCTCTCTCTCTCTCTGTCAAATAAATACAAAAAATCTTTAAAAAAATTTTTTTAAAAAGAAAGTAGGGGAAATTCCAGTTTGATGGTTTTGCAAACTACAGATGTTATGGAAATATCACGAACACTGTATTGTCACTAGGGCTGCATAAAAGAATTTCCACACTAATTGTTTTCCAGATACTTTTCATTCCTTTTACACATTTGTAGCACTTATAAATCTAGAACCCCATGTGGTGCAGCTGGATTAGTGTCACTTTCAAGGAAGCACAGACCACACCAAGTTCCGGATATGGTCCTGCGTCAGAGAACTATGGGAGTGATCCAAGGATAGAGTCCAGCCCCTCATTATCTCCTGTCCCATCCTCTGCCCCTTCACTCTGATGCACTGCCCTGGATTGTTGCTCAGGCACCTTTCAAGTTAATTGGAGATTGTCCATATCTGAGATTAATTGTACTGGAAAAGGTCACTTAAAATTTACTCAACACAGGCTCCAAATTTTCATAGTAGATATCGAAAAAATGTTCAGGATTTTATCTTCAAAAATGGAACTGGAAATTCAAAAATTAATTTTGTATTTAATAAAATTTCATTTACATTTGCAACTATGTGCCAATTCTCATAATGAACAAATAATGAATCAAATGTAGATTTTTTGACCATAATTTTCCCTGCAAAAATGCAAAAATGCATTCTAGCAAAATACAATACATCCTTTCCTTCACTCTTGACTTTCACAGCATTATAACATAGCAAATTACTTTTTGAAAAATTATTATAGGGTTTCTTCACTTTTCTCATGGGCTCCCTTTTAATAGTTTGGCATTAAAAATCATTCTTTTTTGAAGGGACTTTTGGTCAGCAATCTTCTCCAGCTTTTTCCTTCAGTTGTTCATTGGAGTAATTCATCCAGGTCCTCATTTGTCCAAAAAAGCCCATCATCCTCCCACTTCTTTCAACGTCACTTGCATTCATTTTATAAATTCTGGATCCTTTACAAGATCAATACTGCACTATGGATGGAAAGTGCATTGTATTTACATTGCATTTTCAAATGTTTACAAGGTTGATGAATTGACCAGAGACTAACCAACAAAGATGTTGACATATTAGGCCTAGCTAGATGCTAATACTGTGCAGTAAGGAATGTTTGAGTGGGGACTAATTTTGTAAGTGGTCGGCTCATTGGTGAACATTTCCATATTTCCATGACTTAGATTCTCTGTGCAACCTACTTAACTGCAGAGATTGGGTAATATATACCTTGGATAATAAGGATCACTTCACCTACCACTCTGCTTTTCTTTCTAGAATCTACCACTGGGCTTTCGTCCTCTCTACCCCTGCCCTTTACTAGGCCTTTGGCTAGTTCTTTGGCTCCCTGCCCATTATGCCAATTCTGCATCACTAAAGTCCAGAAATTGGTCTCACAGAAATGGACTTTACACACACCTTCAAACTCCACTTGGGTCTGTCTCTATTTTAACACATTAAGCTTCTCAGGACATTTAAGGTTTACAGTTTTGGTCAGAACTATAGTTCCAAGTCAAATATGTTTTTCTAAGAGCAAATAATATGGGTTTTAGTAAACTTTTTATATCATATGGTAACATCAATGTCTTCCTATGTGTCTCAACAACAACAGAACCATCAGTGTTGGAACCCTGACTCTTTTTAGTGAGGATATGAACACAGTCTTCATTCTATAAATTAAGAAAATACTGTTGCATATTTATGTTCAAAGTTTTCTATGTACTGAGACATGTTTAATACTTTGTTTATGAATTTTAAATTTTAAAACTTAGCTTAGTCCTAGGGATGAAGTATTTTCTGGCTATGATGACTTCAAATCATTACCAGAAAGTGAATTGAGCAATATTTTCACATTACGATTTAAAACTTTGACTTTTTAACAAAATATCATCTAAAACACTTATGCTGTTGGATAGCATATTCTTGAAATGTGTGCAAAATAAACAATCATTTATTTTCCTTTTTGCTGTTTTAAAGCAATTTTTATTGGGTTGAGGGTGTAGGTTTCAGGATATAATGTAGTTTGCCAAATTCTGTAATCCTTTCTTTTTTTTTTTAATGTCATACAGGGTGTGGTGCCTTTAGAGAACTTTTTTTTAAAATTGTAGTTCTTAAGAATGAAATCTTGCCATTTGCAAGACATGGGTGGAACTGGAGGGTAACATGCTAAGCGAAATAAGTCAATCAGAGAAAGACATGTATCATATGACCTCACTGATACGAGGAATTCTTAATCTCAGGAAACAAACTGAGGGTTGCTGGAGTGGTGGGGGTGGGAGGGATGGGGTGGCTGGGTGATAGACACTGGGGAGGGTATGTGCTATGGTGAGCGCTGTGAAGTGTGCAAGACTGTTGAATCACAGATCTGTACCTCTGAAGCAAATAATACATTATATGTTAAAAAAAGAAGAAGAAGAAGATAGCAGGAGGGGAAGAATGAAGGGGGGGAATCAGAGGGGGAGATGAACCATGAGAGACTATGGACTCTGAAAAACAAACTGAGTGTTCTAGAGGGGAGGAGGGTGGGAGGATAGGTTAGCCTGGTGATGGGTATTAAAGAGGGCACGTTCTGCACGGAGCGCTGGGTGTTATACGCAAACAATGAATCATGGAACACTACATCAAAAACTAATGATGTAATGTATGGTGAGTAACATAACATAATTTAAAAAAAGTTGTAGTTCTTGGTCTTTTTTTTCCTTCATTTTTTCAAAAGTAGCAAGATAATCTAAACCCCACAGGGAAATTCTGATTCCTACTATTGGCTCCTGGGTTCCCCCACTATTAAAAGACAGATTATTCCCTGTAGCTAGTTTTTACTTATTTTCTTGCTGGGAGTGTTTACATTCTTAACATTGTAAGCTCATTATTAGAAATGAAATCTTGACAAGAACTATTTTAATGTTGTTTTTTTTTTGGTGTGGTGTGTTTTTGTTGCTGTTGTTGTTTTGGCTAGAAAGGTGAAACTAATTTAGAGGGAACAGCACAGATGAGGCATCTAGATTCAGCTATATCCCTTTTGCGGTGGTGTGGTTGTTGAATATCTCAATGAATCCATTCTGTTCTTGTTTTTCTTTTATTAACCCCTAGTTATTGGAAAGCACTTAACAAAATAAGAGGATTAAAATTATTTTTCTCTAATTAAATAAAGGAAAGCCTTGGTTCCACAAGGCTGGAATTGTTCTTCTTAGAAAAACAAATTTTCTGTGAATCTTAACTCATCAATGTTACAGAAAGAAATTGTTGGAAAAGATCTTTTAAGAACAGAGAGATGCCAGCAAAGAAACACCATTTTCAGAACAGAACATGATGAGATCTGATGATTTGGGTTCTGTCTTCATTACCTGACATAGTTAATGACAATGCACTCACAAATCGCTTGTCTGAAAATACGATTTTAAATCCCTGCACAGAAAACTGTCTCCCTATTCTCATACACCAGTAAAAACAGAGAAGAATCTATTGAGGGAGTGTGTATAAGTAAAAAGATAAGAGCAGGAGTTAAAATACAACACCCTTCTGCTTTCCCCTTTTCTTGCCTTAGATCTGTGTTTGAAGGCGACAAAAATAAAGAGGGAACCCCAGGTGTCCAGCAACCACCAAGCGCTAACACGTCTTGTTTTGTTTTGTTTTGTTTTAAAGCAACGAAGGAAAAACACTCCCCAAAGCAAGCCAGACTTCCTCTCTGTGAATCGTCTGTGGATCCCGAAGTCAGGTCCGGCTTGGGTACCACTCGGCAGGGGCTCCCCTCCTCTTCTCCCCACAGGCCCCGCGGGCGGGATGTGACAGGGGCTGTGGGTCCCGGAGCGCCAGGGAGGACACGCCCGCCCGCCCCAGGAGGGGAGGTGGCTCTGGGCTCGGAGCCGCCCCCTCCCGCCGCCGGAGAACAAACGGGATATTCAGCAGTCGCCTGTGGCTGCCAGAGTAACTCCTCTGGGGAAATTAAGCGTCAAGTCAGCCAGCACCGTAATCGCCTTTAAAAAGCGCCCCCACCCGCCTGTCGCGCACACCCGGATACCTGGGCTGCCCCGCGGCTGCGTGCGTGCGTGCGTGTGTGACAGAGAGAGAGAGAGGGCGGGGAAGCGAGCCGGGGCGTGTGCGGCGTGCGAGCCAGTGTTTCTGCCAGTGTGTGCCGGAGGGTGAGCTTGGGGGGGTGCGACCCGGTGTGTGTACCGGCGGGCGCGCCGGGGTGGGAGCGAGCCGCGTGCGTCTACACCGGCCATGAGGGGCGCGGGCGCCTGGGCCGCGCTCTGCCTGCTGCTGGCCGCGGCCGCGCAGCTCTCGCGGCAGCAGCCCCCGGAGAGGTAACGCGACCCCCCGCCCGGGCTCCCTCTCTCCCCGCCTCCCTCCCGCTCTCCTGCAGCCTCGCCCGCGGTTTTACTCCAGCCGCGTCGGGGCGCCCGGGGACGCAGCGCGCCACCCCGCGCTCACCCGGGCTCCCGCGTCCTCTGCCCCGGCGCGGGCTGCCCCAGCGCTCGGCCGCGCGCCCCCAGCCCGGCCTGCCCGAGGCCCCCCGCCGCTGGCCGCACCACCACGTGGCGGGGGCTGAATCTGACCGGCGCCTCCTCCCCCCCAGTGCTTCTGCGGGCGGAGGGAGGCACGAGGGCCCAAATCTGTGCACTTTGCTTATTAGTTGTTTTCCCCCGCCGGGACGCTTGGCCCAGAGACGGAAAGCCTAGGGGAAAACCCGAGTCGCGCGGCGGGCGGCGAGCCGCTCCCAGAAAGTTAACTCTTCGCCAGCCTCCGCCAGAGCTGCCAGACCGCCCAGGACCTGGGCTGGGGGACCCGCCCCGTGGCCACCTTTGGCATCTCCTCTTCCACCTCCATCACCAGCAACCTCCCTTTATAAATGGGAGGCCCTGCCCATGGTCAATGACTTTCAGAAACGGGGAGGAGAAGTAGGCATCTCTCTACATCTAGGAAATGAAAACTTTCTTGTATTAATCAGTTGCTTGTTTGTCTTTAAAACCATGTGCCTCGCCTAGCTCTCACCTTCTCTCACTCACCTCCACTCCCCAGTTAAATTTTCCATTTACCATTTTCCTATAAGCTCTTTCTACTACGTGGAGCATTTGATTGCTTATGGATGGATGGATAAATAGATGTGGCATTAGGATAGAGATAGATGGCAACTGGACTGAATGTTTTATTGGACTGTAATTATTCTAAGAGCTAGCAAGTATTTCACATCCCTTATATGGTGCAAACATTTATTAATCAATATTAACTTTATCCATATTAAGAAGCTACAACCTTTCTGAATTTGACATTAGATTGTTAGATCCAGTTTCAAATTAAGTTTCCTTCTTTTATTTTACCAGACCTGTTTTCACATGTGGCGGCATTCTTACTGGAGAGTCTGGATTTATTGGCAGTGAAGGTTTCCCTGGAGTGTACCCTCCAAATAGCAAATGTACTTGGAAAATCACAGTAAGCATTTTTTTAAGGGTATTCTCCTGGGAGTGGGTATTGGAAATAGTGGAAGGCTGCTGCATTTTTCCTCTGGTGTCAGGATTTGGGTAGGGGGCAAGTGCCCGAATAGTGAAATGTTGGATTTACCTCAACTATTTGGGAGATTTTTATTAATAGAACTAGTGGTGTCCTGCATTAGTGATTAGAAAGGGCACAAGATAACAGTTGAAGGAATAAATTCGTAAAGCAAATGTGTTTCTGAAAACCCATCCTGATTCAGTTGAGTTTCATGGATTCAAAATTAAGGCTGTTTTCAAAGGCTTGTTGTAATGACTTTTAGAATCCATTTGTTACCTGTGCCTTGCACAAATGTCTCCCAGTGGGGAATAGAATTTCAAAGGTAATGCTCATCACTAACTGCTTTATACCCACTATGGGTAAAAGGGAAAAAAAAAAAAATCCCACTTAATGTCCCTGACTTAAAACCACCACTAAAGGCAATCTATGAATAGAGAATAATAATAATTGTGTGGTAGGGAGGGAAAGCCTAAATATCAAACAAAGGCTAATAAAATGCCCATGCTGGTTAGTAATGACATAGATTATGCTGAATCAAGAAGTCAGATTTCCAGACAGCCATCTTAAAAAAGGAGTTTAGATTTAGAATCAGCTAGATTGAGTCATCTTTCCAGTCAGTATGATGGTGAGTCTTCTTCATTTTTTCATTGTTGGGAAGTTATTTGGTAATTGAACACATTGGTTTAGTGAGAGCTTTATTCAGTCAGATTGTGCTACCCACTGATTATAATTTTTAAAAGTAGCTACCTTTCACTGAACACTTACTGTGTACTAGACACTGCACCAAGTAGTTAACAAGCATAAATTCACCGAAATCTTGAAATCACTCTGAGAAAGTGACTATTATATCCCCATTTTATAGATGGGGAAGCTGAGGCCTAGAACAATTATGTAAATTGACTTGATCAGACATTTGGTAAGACCAACTTTATGTAAAGTGAAACCTGTTTTGCAGTGAGGCATTCCCATCAACAGGCAAATATGAGGGGTCCCCCTCCTTAATATAAAGCTTGGCTCCTGTATGTTTGATACTTTCCTATAAAATATTGACTATCTGATAAACTGGTACAGATTTCATTGTGCTATTGCAACACATGGGGCCAGGGAGAATAAGTCATAAAAAATAGCTTTGAAATATTGGTATTAGCATAAATGTGAAATAAGGCTTCGAAATAAACATGTAACTTGGTTTTCATATTATAGTTGTGTTTCAGTAGTAATTTAATGGCTTTAAGTTATAAATGGTCCAAGGAAGTTAATGACTGAGAGGCATCATGTACCTAACAAGTAGAAATTCATGGTTGGCTGTATATTTAGGGTATTATGGGAATTGTTGGTGTGGCATCAAACTTTGATGGGTGAAGGGTGTCCAGTGAAAGTTTTCCTTGGTAAAGGAGTGGTATGTGTCAGGAGAGGCCTGACTGACTACCATATTCTTATGTGGGGGGAAGGGAAGTATAATGGATGTTCTATTTGGATGTAATATAAAGGTAAGGCATATGGGCTCAGCAGTCAGACTTCCCTGGATTCAAATTCTCATTCTATCACTTATAAATTGTGTGACCAGGATTCATCTTTTTTAAACCTCGGGATTGTTGTGAAGATAAAATGAGTTAGTACATGTAAAGCCCCTTGGCTCGGTGTTGGGATTGTAATAAGTACTTAATAAATGTTAGCCATCACCATTATCATTTTCATTATCCTCATTATTGTTGGTATTGACTTCTCAATCCTTCAGACCCTTGGATCGAAATGGCAGATCACTGCTACCCCCTTACCTCACTGGCTAAGCTGGGCTTGGCATCAGCTCAAAACAACTCAGACTTTTATGGAACAATCTACTTTGTCATCTGTATCTAGGAAGAATTATTTCTGTGTTGGGTTCTCCTGTAATCTTGCTGAAGAGATTCTGTGTGAGTCAGAACTAGGTCGGCTTCCAGGAACAGAGACCCAAAACAACAATGGCTCTAACAGAAGTTTGGTTCTCTCTCACATAAGAGAATCTAGAGGTAGGCAATCCAAGATTGGTGTGGCAGCTTCAAGCCATTAGGCACTCTGTATCTTTGTCTTCCCCTGCTTTGCCATACTCAGATGTGTGGTGGAGTTCCAGCCATCATGTTTACATTTCAGCCAACAAAAAGGAAGAAAAGAAGAGTGTATGTCCTCCCTTTAAGGACATTGTGCTTAATTACATGCAACCCACTGCTTACATTTCGTTGGCTAGTTCTTAGTTACACGGCCACTTCTTGCTGCAGGAAATCTGAGAAAGGAAGGCTTCGTTTCAGGTGTCCATGTGCTCTGCTAAAATTCAAAAGTCTTCTTTTGAGTAAAAGTTTTCTATCACCTGTGGAAAGAAGGGAAAACAGGCAGACGACAAGCAGTCTCTGTGACATATTTATTTGTGGTTTTCTCAGGCTGCCTGAAGTGATGTTCATAAAGTTGAGTAACAAATACCAGCCTTTTTGGAAAAGAAAAAATATTTTCTCTCTTTTTAGAAAGTATAGGTAATGTAGAAGAAAGGACTACACAATTTGCTTTTCTAGTTAAAAGCTTAATAGTTTTCACTCTTAGCCAGTTGAGTTTATTCTATTCCAAGGGGCTGTGTCTTTTATGTTTGCATGAGTAGCCACCAAGAACTTCCAGAGAAGCCCAGCAAGTTCTCCTCATTATAATTACTGCCTCTGCTATACACAAAGGCCATGGGTGCTCTCAAGGTCTTAGTTTGACAACATTTTTATTTCTTTGTATTTCATAGGGAATAGCACTAACGCATTTGTAAAAGTCTTCTTCATTCTTCTTCACGGTCTTTTGGTTTGTCAGAGTAACAGAAGGGAACTCCCCAGCTCCCGTAGATCCTCGGGGACATAAAAAGAGGAGAACTGTGGTAGCTGTAAAGCTGGTGGCCCATTCAACAAATGTGTTTTGAATGCTGGGTACTATTTGGGTTATAGTAGCAAACTGAAGGCAGCCAAACTCCTTAGCCTCATGCAGCTAGCATTCTAGGTTGGAGAGATAGGCAATTAATGTTTAAATAAACAAAAAAGAAAATATGAAGTAGTGGTAAATGCATTATGAAAATAAAATAGATACTACTTCACTTCCATTAGGATGGCTATTATAAAAAAAATAGAAAATAACAAGTGTTGGCAAGATGTGGAGAAATTGGACCCCTTGTGTATTGGTGGTGGGAATGTAAAATGATGCAGCCTGCTGTGGCAAGTATTTCTCAAGAAATTGAACATAAAGCAGAATCAGACCTATACATTCAGAGAACAAATTGATATTTGCCAGAGGGGAGGGAAGTGGGGAGTGGGCAAAATGGGTGAAGGGGAGTGGGAGATACTGGCTTCTAGTTATGGAATGTGTAAGTCATGGGGATGAAAGTACAGCACAGGGAATATAGTCAATGGTATTGTAATAGTGTTGTGTGGTGACAGATGGTGGCTGCATAGCATGATGTATAGAGTTGTCCAGTCACTATGTTGTACACCTGAAAGTAATGTAACGTTGTATGTCAACTATAATTCAGTAAAAAAGAAAAAGAAATTAAACATAGAGTTACCATATTATCCAGCAATTCCACTTCTGGGTATATACCCCAAAGAAGTGAAAGCAGGGACTCGAGCGGATATTTATACATCCGTGTTCATGGCAGCATTATTTACAGTAGCCAAATAAACAAAATGTGGTATAGACATACAAAGGAACATTATTCAGCCTTAAAAAGTAAGAGAATTCTGGGACACCTGAGTGGCTCAGTCAGTTGGGAGTCTGCCTTTGGCTCGGGTCATGATCTCAGGGTCCTGGGAGGATCCCCGCATCGTTGGGCTCCCTTCTCAGCGGGGAGTCTGCTTCTTCTCCCTTTGGCCCTCCTCTGCTCATTCTCTCTCAAATAAATAAATAAAATCTTTAGGAAAAAAAAAAGTAAGGGAATTCTGACACATACTCCAGTATGGATGAACTGTGAAGACATTGTGCTGAGTGAAATAAACCATCGCAAAAGAACAAATAGTGCATGATTCTATTTATATGAGGCACCTAGAGTAGTCAAATTCATAGAGACAGAAAGTAGAATGATGGTTGCCAGGGGTTGGGGGATGGGGAGTTAGTATTTAACGGGTAGAGAGTTTCACTATGGGAAGATGAAGTTCGGAGATGGATGGTGGTGGTGACTGTTGCACAACGATGTGCAAAGGTCATTCTGGCTGCTCTCTAGAGGATGAGTTGTGGGGAGTTAAGAATGGAACAGGGAGACCAATTAGGAAGCTAATGTGGCATCGAGGAGAGAGAAGACGGTGGATTGGACAAGGCCGGTAACAAAGGAGATGAAGAAACATGGAATCTTTTGCCCAAAGCAGTTCTCTCAGCAGTTGAGTGCAGTTAGGATGTAGTGGCACCAGCCAAGAGGCTGGATACACCAGGCTTCGGATCCTTGCTTGGTAGCTGCTCCAGATGGGGCTGAGCTCTGGTGTGGCCTCATCCAAGGCCGTCTATTAAAGGCTTTCCCAAAGCGGAGGATCCAGTCCATTTTCCTACTCCTGCAGTTAGTAAACCAAGAATAGGGTTTCTACTGGGTGATTCATATCACTTCTATTAAACATCACAGAGATGCGTGATTCATATCACTTTTATTAAACATCAGAGAGATGATTCATATCACTTTTATTAAACATCACAGAGATGCGTCGGGGCTCCTGGGTGGCTCAGACGGTTAAGCGTCTGCCTTCAGCTCAGGTCACGGTCTCAGGGTCCTGGGATCAAGCCCTGCTTTGGACTCTCTGCCCAGTGGGGAGTCTGCTTCTCCCTCCCCCTCTCCCCCTCCCCTCTTGTACTCCCCCCACGAAATAAACAAATAAAATCTTTTGATAAAAAAAGTTCGCAGAGGTGCCTCAAAATGGGAGTCTCAGAGTGGCCCTAAAATTCGAGTTCCTGTAGTTGGC